GAATTCGTCTCCATTACAAGCCAGTCAGGAGAGGATGAGCCACACCGAAGCCAGGCTGTTAAAACCCTATATTGGAAGCCCAATAGTAGTACCTGAAGTTCAGTAAGGCCATCCCACCAAGTGGCTTAGGTCTCTGTAAATATTGTCTAGACAATCTAGGGACCTTCCCCTCCCAGAGAAAATCTGAAACAAGAGAATCTACCCGGCCAAAAAAGGATTTGGTTAAAAAAATTGGGACACATTGAAAAAGATACAAAAAACGGGGGAGAACATTCATTTTGACACAGTTAATTCAAGATACCAGAGATAGTTTAAGTAAGGACCAGCGCTCAAAGTCTTCTTTAACTTTCAACAGCAAAGGAGAGAAGTTAGCATTAAATAAGTCCTCAAACCTATGCGCGTAACTCGAATTCCAAGATATGTGAAACTGTCATTGGCTACTTTGAAAGGAAAGTCATGCAGCAGAAGAGCCCTAGCCACTGAGTTAATAGGAAACAATTCACTTTTACCCAGGTTCAGCTTATACCCAGATAACCGGCCAAAGTCTGAAAGCAGGTGCAAAGCAACCGGAATAGAGTTGTGCAGATCTGAAACGTATAAAAGTAAGTCATCAGCGTAAAGTGAGACCTTAACTTCCAAACTATGACGTCGTATGCCCACAATAGTTGGACTCGAACGAAGCATGATGGCAAGCAGCTCAATAGCCAGGGCAAATAAGGGGACTCAATGGGCAACCCTGTCTTGTAGAGCGATGAAGGAAGAAGTACTCCGACCGAGTGTTATTAGTTCTAACTGAGACATGTGGGTTAGAATAGAGCAACTTAATACAAGTCAAAAAAGCTTCACCAAAACCAAACCCATAGCACATTTTTGAATATTTCTTAAGGCTTTAACAGTCTTCAAGCAGAAAACTGGGTTATGAGAGGAGGAGGACATGTAGCAATGGTCAAAAAACCAGGACTCAATTTGTGACAGTCGTGTTGAAGACTTAGACCGTATACGAGTCCTGTACTTTACCTACTGAGTCTTTTACATTTTATATAGCAGATGGTCTTGTTAAATGACCAACCAACAGACTAAAATATTTTTTTGTTTTATTGCCTCTAGTGGCCTTTATTTGACAGGAAAGTGGATAATGAGAAAAGGTGGAAGACATGAAGCAAAAGTCGCCAGGCCAGGAATCGAACCTGTGACAGCCACATCGAGGACTAAGGTCTCCATATGTGGGTCGTCTTTAACCCCTTTGCCACCACAGCAAACCCCACTAACAACATTTTGGTGTTAAAAAGGTCTCTCTTTCATAATGAAATGTAAAGTCTTACCAGTAGCTGCAGTAATGTTGATGCCACTGCTCCTGATGTTGTCAAGAACAGAGAAGAGAGTGAATGTGTAGTTTGTTGCAGGAGAGAGAGATGAGACTGTGTGGGTTACTGGTCCATCTGCAACTGGGGCACTGATGAAAGTCTCCACACCATTAAACAGGAGAACAAAGCTGGTGCTGTTGTTGATCTTGTTCCACTGCAGAGTGATGCTGATGTCATCTTTTGCTGAAACTGTAAAACCTTCTGCATTTGGTGGGACTAAGATAAAAACAAGACAAAATGTCATAGAAAATTAAACTGGAATTAAACATTTTGTTTCACAGCTTAATCAGGAGTTTATATTTATTTGTTAAACAAAATAAAAGCCTTCAAAATAGTTTATTGGTTCTGTGTTGCATAATGTAATTTTTCTAGATGTAAGAAATGCAAGAATTATCTCATTATAATGAACAACTCCTCACAAGCCAGCTGGTGAAAATGCATGTGATACAGTAGTTTGCTTAGAGACTGTAGTTGAGGGGCCTGCAGAAAATGACTACACCACAGTCATCTGTTGTGTAAAATTATGAATTACTTATGGCTGCTGAAACAGCAAAAATGAGAAACATTACTTGGTTTGTAGCAGACGAATGGCAAACTGAGGCTGCAACTTTCATCCGACCATCTTCCAGAGTCATTAAATGATCCAGCAACACACTGATCACCAGAGGGACCATTGGGCTCGCCATCCGCCCAGTATCGAAACAGAGAGTCGCTGCCATCAGACCACAGCTTTTCCCGATACAGTCCAATGAAAACAGTGCTGGCACCTACTAGGGTTCTGATGATTTCATTTTCTGTCTGATTTCGTACACTGGCAAGGAAAAACAATGTTAATAAGCAATCACATTAAATACAGTACATAAGGAAAAATAATCTGTGTTGGGTTTCTTTTGATTTTTCAGTTTCAAAACAAAAAAGTAGCTTTTTTTAGTTTTTAGTACCTAAATGAAAAAAACAACTTGAAATTGAAAATTAAATATCCACAGTGTTTGATTTTTGCTTCAGATATTAAAACTAAACTAAAATATGCAGTTATTTATAAATATGTAAAATAGAAAATAATGAATGTCGACTAACACGACGACTATACAAGAAATTATTACACTTTATAATATTAATTGCTTTCTTGGAATGTTAAGTCAAATTTAATTATATTAGGATCATGAGCTCTCAAACAGATGCGTTGACTCTCTTTAAACAAACAGTTCAAAGGTCATGAAGGGAGACTGGAATCCACACTAAGCTCACACCCCAGACAAGAAGCAACATTTATTGTTAATTTCTCGCTCCGCTGTATCATCCTTCCTGCTGAAGGGCTTTCTCATGTTCACTTGGATTCTTTCTGGTAGAATTTCTTAGCCAACAGAAGAAATTGTGAACGATGATGTTGATTTCTGCACTGTTTTAAAATTGTAGTCTGCCTGTAGTTTTAGCAATGGCAGCGGAGGAAGTGAACGAAGCTGTTCAGTCCATGATCACACTTCCTAATACTGAATTAACATTAACAACCACATTGTTTTACTAGACCCTTGTCTCTTCACAATCAAAGATGGCTGTTTACAACGGAGACAATTTCCAGTAAGCTTCCTAGCATTGAACTGGCGCACTACATTCATCACTTAAAAAGATTAGTGAGAATCTAACACTGGAAAAGCACAAATGGAAATTACATTGTGGATAACAGAGTTCACTTTCCCAACATACTGGAGCTGTGATAACTGAATGTTAAACAATGATGGGAACAGTATGAGGAAAAAAATAGAATGACTGATAAATGGTAAAGGGAAGCAAAGCATGACAAAAGATAAGAGGAACTAGAAATACAGGAATACAACTTGCATAACTCAGCAATAGAAGCAACAGGAAGTAAATGGAAGATAGTTGTGCACAAGGTTTAATGTCAAAACAAATCAGGACAAAGTCTACAAAAAGAAAACATATCTATGAAAAGATCAAAGACAATACATCAGCCAAAGCAAAAGCCCAGAGTATAATGTCAGAAAAACTGATGAACCATTGTTAGGTATTAATACAGTGTTTGATGTAGCATATAATCTTATTACCTGGCCAGATCAACATAATTCTCCCGGCAGAATTTCTGAGCTTCAGTCCAGTTTAATGAAATATTACTGACAACATAGGATGGTGATCCACCTACTGCACCTGTAAATATGTTAAGAAATGTAGAATAAGAAAACTAAAAGAAAATAATCTTTAATTTTTCTTCATTTATATTATATAAAACTTACCATTATAGCAAACAAATTGCAGTGTATCCAAGCACCGAGTGTCATCCCATTGGCCTCCAGAACCATTAAACTGAACACAATGCTGTTGTCCAAGATAATTGTCGGGTTGGCCAGGTTGCCAGTTCCTAAATGAATTTTCTCCAGCATAGAAGCTGCTGTCATTTAGGGACCAGGTCCAGCTGTTTATTGTGTCGTCATAGAGACCGATCCATGCCTTGCCTAAATGAAAAAACATGTCTGATGTTAAAAAGCTGCAGATAAGCATGTTAATAGTCACATATAAGACTTTCACTAATAAAAAGGACTGTGGGGTTTGAACTTCACATATTTATACTTGTGTTGTCTACCCTGTGCAAATTAAAAACTCACCTGTATAACCGGAGGTGGTTCTTAGAAAGTCATCAACATCAGCTGTGCTTTCAATGGTGGCCAGATCAGTGTAGTCCCGTCTGCAGACACTCTGAGCTTCTGTCCATGTTAGCAACGTGTTCACAAAGTAGTACTGATGGCTTTGGGCACTAGCAACACTGAGCAGGGCGCCTGAAATAAAACCCGTTAAACTTTAACAGCATTGCATTACAGCAGTGTTTCCCAAACTTTTTCTCCTGCCAAAGACATCGTAAAAGTTCTGAATACAGCTGCAAATGTTCCCCAACTCAAGGAAACAAGTCCATTACCATCATTGACTTTAACCATTTAGTGAAGAAGAACCTACTGTCCCAAAGACATCATGAAGAAGCCGGATTACAGTTTGCAAATGCACTTAGAAACAAATACTTTCATGTTTAGTGTTAAATAAAATGTTTTTCATAATGCTTTTTGTCATATTTGAATAATTAAGGTTCAAGATCCTAAAAATAGTCAGTTTTAATGTTTTAGTGTTTTTAACGTTTCAGTTTGGGTGTTTTGCAACAAGAGTCTGGTGCACTTCACAAAATATTGCATAATGGAAGCATAATGCAAACAATAAATATTATTATTGCAGCAATAGTGGAAGACAACATACTAGCATCACATTGCTACCCAAAAAGATTTTACTCTATTGTTGAAAGAGAAATTCTATGGAAATGTTTGCTAACGTCACCATATAATCAGAGTTTAAGGATCTATGAACAACATTGGTAATCCTAATGAATCTAGAAGTTTTGAAAATGTTTATTAAGGTTTAGTGTCAAACAGTCAGGAAAAACGGCTAGTTTTTGTCCAGCACATGTTCATGTCTAGTTATGACTTGAGTTTATCTTGAAAGACATCCTGTCCATCAAGGCTGAGGGAGAAAACTAGACAAAAACAGGCAGAATATGCGATCAGGTCCCTGGTGGGATTTGAAACCAGGACTTCTTTGAATTGAGGTGTTAAAATGATAACATATCATTGTACATCCACATTTTTAGCACAGAACCTGACATTAACCTTTGTCTTACTTTGCCTCTCAGTCTCAGTTTTCCATTGTGCAATAATAACAAAATGAAAATATGTAAGTCAGAATAAGTAAACAGACACAAATCTGAGTCCAAACAAATCAGCCTGTAATCCATCAGTGAAAGCTTGAGATAAAATAAAGTATCCAGACATCTTCTGGACCTGGAGCCTTTTTGGCAACAATGGAACCTCTCTCCTTGAAGTTCTTGATGGTGTGATAGATTGTTGACTGAGGTGCAATCGTTCTAGCTGCGACACTCTTCCCTGTTAGGCCATTTTTGTGCAGTGCAAAGATGACTGCACGTGTTTCTTTAGAGATAACCATGGTTCACAGAAGAGAAACAATGATGCCAAGCACCAGCCTCTTTTTAAAGTGTCCAGTGGTGTCATTCTTACTTAATCATGGCAGATTGATCTCCAGCCCTGTCCTCATCAACACCCACCTGTGTTAATGGAGCAATCACTGAAACGATGTTAGCTGGTCCTTTTAAGGCAGGGCTGCAATGAAGTTGAAATGTGTTTTGGGGGATAAAGTTCATTTTCTGGGCAAATATTGACTTTGCAATTAATTGCTGTTAAGCTGATCACTCTTTGTTAGAGAATTTTCGGTATTATCATTTTGTTATTACTTTAGTTCATATTCAGTCTAATGTTATGTACTGACCTGGAGGTCAGGACTGTCTGTTTCATCTTCATGTGAAACAGTTAACCCTGTGTTTCTCAGACCTTAATTCTTATCAACCAGAATACCTCCTAACTGCCTGTGAGCAGTCGTATTTTGTCTCTTGTTTATCCTCCCTCTTTGTTGACAGTTTGACCTAGAGCTGAACTGGGCTCAGATCGTAGATCAGATATCACACCTGGAACTGAGTTGCTGGTTTGTTTAGGTTAAATGTTTTACGACCTCTGTTGTTTTTTTCTGGCTGTTCTGCTTTGACAATAAAACAGGGGCTCACGCGGAAGCAGACCAGAATTCTCTGTGAACGGCCTGGAGAGGCGGTGGCAGAGATTTCTCCTTTTGCAAAAGCCTTGCTTTAAAATTCATATATGTTGTCTGTGGTCTTTTATATAGGTTCGAGAAAAAGTACCTATCACTCTTTATAACATTCTGGAGTATATGCAAATTGCCATTATAAAAGCGGAAGCAGTAGACTTTGTAAATATTAACATTTGAATCATTCACAAAACTTTTGGCCATGACTATATGTCAGAAATCTTTTAACTTTTAGTAAACACAAGTACTCGCTCCAAAGATTTGATTGAATGTGGTCAAAGAATAAGCTCATTAATGTTCCATCATAAAAAATAAAAATGAAAGCACTTAGGAAGGATGGCACAGAGAAACAGTTTCTGGGAAATGTCATATCATTCAGGAAAAACAGGTTAGAGCACATCTTTGTTACATTAGTGTTTGACTTGGAACACATCTAGATGTTGCAGAGCACAGGCTCTGGAGGCCTTGATTTCAAGATTGGTGGTCTGTCTCTTCAAATTGTTCCCATTTTTACTGAAGTCCACTTTTTGCATGGTCCGTTTTCTACTCCATGGCCCCAACCCTCCTTTAAAACATTAGAAATTATTCTAAAGGGAAAAATGAATCTTGCACTTACTCAGAACGTGACTGATTGTGGTTGAAGAGTCAGAGAAACAGCTTTCCATTTAATTTTGCTTAATAAAAAATAAAACTAATTAAGATTTCTTAAAGATGTACAAATGCAAATACTAGTGGGGTAAATGAGGAAAGGACTGAGGGAGAACAACACATGGAAACTACTTCTAGGAATAAGTCAGACAAAACGGGTTAGAGCACATCGTTTTCACATCAACTGCACATCCCTATCATTAGAACAAAGCAAAAACACTGAGGTGATGTAAAGACAAGTCTGTTTGTTCAACAAGTCAGTCGAAACAGAATGAACAAATCTGGTTCATCTAGTAAAATGTCCAGTGCCCAGTTCATCTTCAAATTAAACAAGTATCAGCATCATTTGAATAGTCAGCCCTCACAGGTTAGGAGGGAAACAAGGTTTGTCTCCTAGAGTAAAAGGTGATCTGCAACAAAATGTGGATATTAGCTTCACAACAAAAGCTAAAGACCTTTAAAAGATACTGGATAAATCTGCTTTCGATTTTCCTCGGTGAAATGAGTCACTTACCAACACTGGATAAATAAACAAAAAAGCAAGATTACAATCTTAAAACACACAGGAACAAATATCTTCATCTTTAGAGATAACTGAAGTGTTTTCCATTATGTCTCTGTTACATTTGGATAAATAAGGGAGAAGCTTGAAAAATGCAGAAGTTTAGGTGTTTTATGACAAGAGGGAGTGGTGCACTTCACAAAGTAGCATTGTGAAGAAGTTTAGTTGGAAATATTACAGCAATAATTCAAAACAAGACCTTTTGTCTTGTAAGCCCATGAAATGGGTTTGAAAGAGCAACTCTCAAATAATGGTATGGAAATGCATGCAAATTTCTGAATATAATCAGAATTTACAAATTTAAGAACAATACTGGCAATTCTAATGGATTAAAACGTTTAGGATATGTTGAGTTAGATTTAGGGTCAAACAGTGAGGAATAAAAGCCCAATTGATTGTTTTTGTTCATGTCTGGGTTTGGCTGAGTTAATCCTGGGTAAAAATCTCGTCCATTAAAGCTGTTTAAGAAAGACTGAACATGTAGGCAGGAACCTGGTGGGATTTGAAGCTTGGACTTCCTGGTGTTCAGGTGAAAGTGCTGATGACATAACCAGAGTTTACCTGAACATTTTAAACATACAACTTAGTTTAGCCTCTCTGTCTGTTTCCCGTTGTGTAAAAATGACTAAAAGAAAAACAATTATTGAAGCCAGAATAAAATGTGCATGCAGAATTTGGTTTGAACCTTTTTCTTACTTTGCCTCTCTGTCTCAATTTCCCACTGTGCAAAAATGTCTTAAACAAAAAGACTTTAAGAAGGTAGAATAAGAAAACAGACACTAACCTATGATCCCAAACAGGCTCAGCCTGTGAGCCATCAGTGAAAGCTTGAGATAAATTCAAGTATCCAGATCTTCTAAATCCAAACTCTATGAATGTATTTCACAAATTATACAAACTAATAACCTATAAGCTGCAAGGGACACATTAACAATGTCTTGAGATGCTCTGCATGTTTAAAGGTACTACAGATGGGTGTGGCTTTCATGGAAGAGACAATTAGTTACCAGAACCTGCATAGTTCTAAGAAAAGTTATGCAACAAAGCAGAGAACTGTCATTTGATGCACCAGACAACCAGAATTCATAGGGATTCACTTTGCATTAAGGGTGTTTATCAAAAGTTTGTAGTCACCATTATAATTTGTGACACTTAAAAGGTCATGTAAGCAGATAGTCAGCAGCACAGGACATCATACTCTGATTTATTCTCTCTGAAGATGTCATAAGACTTCCAGTAAAAGTCGGAATCCAGTCATGCGTAGAAATATTTAGATTATGCAGCAGTTTCCCAGGTGAATGAGACACAAACATGAAACAATGAGCAAAATTGTCAGAATGCTGAAGTTCGTGGTGTCGGAACAATTGGATCATCTTGAAGGTAACCAAAATAAATTAGGTGACTATAAAATGTAGGAGAAAGTGAGAAAATGGCAAACACATTTTATATCATGTGAGAAAAAGTGTAAATATCTTGGTGTTAAATCTAGATTACAGTCTGGAGTGGCGACATTATTATCACTGGACTCATCTGTCAAAGCCAGAGTGGCAGCTTTGAGCATGTTGAAGCATAAATATGTTTTTGGTATCCGTTTTTAAAACAATAAAGCTCTGAAATGTTAAAGAAAAACGGCACAATTACAGTTGGTGAAACAGAAAACAGATGAAAAAATACATTTTTAAATCAAGCTTTTAAATCATCATTGGTTGGATAAACAAACAAGCTGATATGGTCAAAGTCAAATCTGTGCAGATTATCTCAGCATAAATCTGAGTTTAGCTTAGCCAGCATTTCCTTGTTTTTCACATCGAACTTCCTGACAAACTACATTCTTCATGTAAACAAAACTTTTTTCACTGACCTGAATAACAATTGGCACTATATAAAAAGTACAAGTTTGTTATGTGAAGGTAAAATAAAAGTATTTTAAAGAGGAGGTGGATGTTTGTAGCACATGTGAATACTTTTTGCATGGAGGGAGATGCTTGATCCAAGAGGCAGAAAATCAATCAATAATTGATATTGATGTCACAGTAGCTATAATAAAAATCTCAGGCAAAGACAGAGATGGAATGAAGCAGATCTTCTTGACAGGATCTGAATCTAAGACACATATTTCTCCAATCTTTTGGTTTATGACTAATTACTGTAACTTTGTTTTCACAACATTTGTTGTATAAAACATTTAGTGATGTTTTTTCTCAGGCTGTTGTGAACAATTTTATAGATGTGCAGCAAACTGATCAAGTTGAGAGACAAAAAATGCAGCAGGACATAAATTACTAACAGAGGTTGTTTTGTTGTATTGTCTTCACAATAAACATTTGCTTTTGAGTTTTAGTTTAATAAAACTAATTGTAGCAGTTCACAGAATTGCTCACTGGGAAAATCTTTTTAACTTCACTCAGTTTGTATCAAAGCTTTGTTTTTACATTAAAATATTCTCTAAAATAATTTCTAGTGGCTCTGATTTATTTATAACTGCAGTTTAGTAAAAGAGAGAAAATAATCTTTATTAAGTAGTATTTGAAGGCATGAAGTTACTAGTATTTTAAATCTGTGTTGTTTGAATGCCATCTTCTTGCTTAAGATAGCATTCAACGTTTACAAAGAGCAAAGCTTTATTATCCTGCTAAACCACAAGTGTGGACTGAGGGCCTTTGCCATGGTACATCCAGTTCATTCTGCTCAAGTATTTTTTTTTATTTATTTCCTGTATTTAAGTAGATGAAACCACATTGAGGTCTAGATCAAATTTTTAAAAGAGACCTGGGCAGAAACCTGCAACACACAACAACCTGGTTACACAAAAAGAAAACAAAACGTATGCACAAGTTTAAAATAAAGTACAAAACAGTTTAAATGCAGCGACGCTGGCTGATGGTTTCATGTTTTTAAGAACTGCTTGAAAAATGTCCAATGAAATAAGATCCAACATCTTGAGATCAGACTGAAGCCGATTCCCTGCTATTACACATCAAACTGATTGGTTGCTTCCCTTTTTGTTCCCAGTTTATAAATATATACAACATTTGCTTCTCTCCATTGCAATTGAGATTTATTGCATTTATATAACCAGGGAAGCAACATGGAGTCAAACTGATCCAAGTTTTACTTCTTTAAACTTTTACTTTGTTTTCATTAATGACTTGGGATTTGGATTTTTATTTTTTGTTAGATTTTGCATGCAGCTCTTGGTATTTTGTCCAAGACTACTT